TTAGGGTAATAGGATGAATATGTTAGAAGATTGGCTCGTTGACTTATGCATGATTGCAAAAGTGAGGAAATTGGAGAAGGAACCAAAAGTATCCTTGCATCAATAGTAGTACGGGAAAAGGTTCAAGTTTGTATTTTTTCCTTTTAAGAAACTTTGCACCATTGTATCGGATGCCCCTAAAGTCAAATCGGTTGTTATATATGACATATGCCATGATCTTTTTCCGTCACAATATATACTTTATCTTTAGAAGGATAAGTCTCAACTTTTCTAACATCAATATCAATATTTGAGTAATATTAGGTTTCATTCTACACTGTTTTAAGCAATAGATGGTTTTTCTATAATATTAAGTTTCATTCTACAATGTTTTAAGCAATAGATGGTTTTTCTATAATATTAGGTTTCATTCTACACTGTTTTAAGCAATAGATGGTTTTTCTATAGAAAAATCATTGATTTCTATAATATTAGGTTTCATTTCATATAGTTTATGAGTTTATATAAGAAAAAAATTAAATATAAAGATCAAAATATTTAAAAATTTTAAATTTATAAGAAAAATAAGAAAAATATTGAATTATTAGATCGAAATGTTTTTTTTTTATTTTAAGTTTAAATAAACAAACAAAATAAAATAATGAGGGTTTAATTTATGAATTTTAAAATTAAAAGGTAAGTCTATTAATGAAACTGATATTAATATATTATTACGTTTAAATATTATTTGAATTTAATAAAATAAAAAAACCTATAAAATGATATGTTAAAAAAATAATTTAGATAACCACAAAATAACATGTGACAAAATAAATGAGAGTATATATATATATATATATATATATATATATATATATATATATATATATATATATATATATATATATATATATATATATATATATATATATATATATATATATTACTGTAATAATATATTTGGCTTAATTTGGTGGCGTTCGAGTACTCCTTCTAATTAGTATCCTTGATTCACATATCTCTAATGAATGTACTCTTAATTAAACCAATTACAAGAAAGTTAAAGGTTTTCATCTTTATTATCCAAAGGTTTTATTTTTATACAAATATACAACGAGATATATCTGTTCAACTAAATGTTAAAGGAGCAATAACTACTTAATTAAATTACTTCTCAACAAATAGTGAACACAGGCTTTCTGAAAATCGACAGGAACTACTCGACAACTAGACTTATTGGAATCTCATATACACAACCACATGACGACGCCGGTCAAAAGTTTTTACAGGCTATCGGTGAAAGCCCGGAGAAGATCGGAGAATGGCAGAACGGACAAGTATGCTGTTTCCGGTGAAGCAATTCACCGACGCAGTCGGAATGGTAGACGTGACGACACCTGCTGAGCTGACAAACAACGTCATCAAGATGGTAATCGGCAGAGCATATGAAGCACATCTCTTCCACGGATCTGTTTCGCCGGTGCAACAGCTCTTCGAACTTGATAACCGGAAGATCGACGAGACTTGGATATGGTGTAGAGTTATCGCATCGAAACAAGTAGAAGAAGAAGTTCTTGATTAACTTGAGCAAATCTTGCTTGATACGGAAGATTGGAAAGAGTATACAGAGGTAGAAGACGATGTTCATCAACATATTTGATATTTCTTCTGTCATTCAGTCTTGATTTTCTTTGTTGTTTGAAATTTGCATACGAATGTCAAGGAGTGGGGTTTATAAGGACAAGTGGGCCCATTGACATGGTGCCATGCTGGCGTACCCAGCGTCGTCGTTTCGATGGGTAAATGGCTGAAATTGCATATGGAACGTGATTCACGCTATGATGCTATTGAAAATGAAATTACAATCAGCTTCTCATATTCATCACAACTTGTCCATTATACAATAAATATACATATATATTTAAAACATAATTTTTTAACCAATGAAATACAAATAAATACAACTGTAATGCTTGACAAATAAATAAGTTATGACTTATGTATGAACGTTTATGAAGGAAGAAGGCTCTCGTGGAAGTCAATGGGCTACGAAGACACTTCCTCCATCTTAGCTGCCAAAATTAAGACTTTCGATTTTTATTTATTTTTGTAAGGTGATTATACATACATATATAATAATTAAAAAAAGACTTTGGATACCATGCCTTTTTTTTTTATAAAGTTTATAGATGGCAGTTCTTATTAATTTATTTAATATTTAATATATATAACTTATTTTCTTCATTTGTTTTAATATTTGTAGCCCAAGTTGCAAAATTATTTATTAAAATTTTGCAAAGGTACATTAATATGTCATCGTATTTCTAAATATTGTAATAATTTAATTGAACAGTGCAACTTATCAACAGATATCTTTATTCTTCATAGTTATGTAAATTATATTTATATGAATTAAATATAATTTATTGTACACAAATTATTTAGGTGTATTAACGTGTCTCTTGCTTATGGGTGGTGGATCTACTTCTACTGTAGAATATAGTCACCGCCTCACGGGTTGTGAAGGATTCATGGTTCAGACAGAATAACTACCATTTACAAGTAACGTTTAAATAATGAGAAAACAAATATTTATTTTTTTATTTTTTTTATTCATCTTACTTATTCGAAGATAAATGTCAACAATTAAAAGAGATGATTAAAAAAATTTAATGAATTTCATATAATATGGGCAGGAAAAAAAATAAAAACGAAAAATCAGAAAAATATATTTAATTTTTCTTCAAGAATTATCAATTCAATTAAAAAGTCAAAGTGTGCAATTTCACTAAGTTTAACTTCTATATCGTTTAACAAACTTTCAATATGTTCAACATCAAATTAGTTAAACAACTTCTAAGTAGGCTAGAGGGAGCAACTTCGACATATGTTGAGCGATTGCTGACCCACCTCGACAACACCGACGCTCAAGCTCAATATGTCGAGTTCTTGAGTCAACTCAATAACCGGTTGAGGAGAGAAAGTCTAGCTTCTTTCTTTCTTTTTTCCAACTCTTCAAAACGTTGCTTCACCAACTTTAATTGCTATTTGGATATATTTCCACTACAAGAAGAGTCATTAGTGACCGATTTTTAATGACGATTAAAAATTTGGTAGGTAACATTATCTTTTAGTCGCTATATATTAAGCCGTCATAAATTTGTGGTAGCGTTATACATTTAATGATCAAATAAATGAAATGGTCACTTCATTGAAGACTTATGGCCAAAAATAATCATCATTGAATTTTCAAACCCACCTACCTTTCATCTAAAATATCGCCACAACATTATTGCCGTTATTGAATTACAAAATGAAAGGATTCCGTGACCATAGAATAAGGGAAGTGTTTCGTACACAATAATTTTTTGACATACACAACAATTTATAAATTATAGATTTGTACGATACAACATTTTAAAGCATAAATTGTTATCTACGGAGAACAAGTGATGTGTACAAATCAGTTTCCTAAAAGAATGGGTTACAGATGGTGTGAAGTTGGTGATTTTAGTGGTATAAAAGTGAATGAACTATTAGATTTTGTAGTTAAATGGGAAACTGCCCCAAAAAAAAAAGATACCTTACTTAGCATCTGTTGTGGCATGCTCCTGTGGATTTGGAAGGCGATGAATGATAGGATTTTCAAGCAATGTATCGCAAATCCTACAATGGTAAGTGTTTTTCCTTTCCTAAACTTGTAAATTGTTTATGTTCATTTCCTTTGTGTGTGTGTGTTTTTTTTTTTTTTTTTTTGAATTTATACCCTTTTAGTCTCTTGCTAGTTTGGGTCTCTTAATATATTTGCATTTTCAAAAAAAATAAGAAAATATTTTAAGAATAATAACCATAATTAACGGTCATACCGACAAGAAAGTAGAAAATTATGAAAAACTATCATCATCGTACTCATTTCATTTGCGTTTAATAATAAAAAATAATTATAATTTTATTGGTGGTTTATTGGTAAAAATAATCATCATTGTATTTTCACCCTTAATTATCCAAAATAATAATCAATAAATTAAAAACATAATGACCAAAACTAATTATCGTCATATTTAAAATGATTTGCCTCAATTTAATTTAATTTAATTTTTGGAAACAATAAATATAATAAAACGGCCCAAGAGTAACAAGTAATTAGGTTGGGATAAATTGATTAAATGGATTGATTGGAGTAGATCTTTCCTTTCCTAAACTTGTAAATTTTTTATGTTCTTTCCCTTTTTTTTTAATCCTTTTTTAGTCTCTTGCTAGTTTGGGTCTCTTAATATATTTACATTTAAAAAAAAAGTGTTTTAAGAATAATAACCATAATTAATGGTCTTTCTTAAGTAGAAAATTATGAAAAACAATTGTTATTGTGGTCATGCATTTGCGTTTAATAATAAAAAAATAATGATAATTTTAGGGGATGATTAATATTGAAATATTTTTATTGGTTGAAATTGTACCGTTTTCCGAAAAATATTGATTATAAATAGTTGATTATAGATTATTTTTTATAAAATGGTCAATAGAGTGTCTAAGGGGTGCCTTATTAGCAGACATCCGGAGATGGCTAAAAAGACATTTGATTTATCATATAGACACCCTAATTTAATATTGAAATATTTTTATTGGTTGAAATTACATCGTTTTCCAGAAAATCTGATTATCAATAGTTGATTATAGGTTGACTTTTTATAAAATGGTCAATATAATATCTAAGAGATGTCTTATTAGCAGTATCCTAATTTTATTAGTGACTTATTGGTAAAAATAATGATCATTGTATTTGACACTCAATTATCCAAAATAATAATCATTAAATTAAAAAAGTAAGGGATATATACAGTAAAGCCCCGATATTTTCATCCAATTGACACGAAAGTCCCAAACTAATTTTTTTTGACACAAAAGCCCGAATTACCGGCATTTATTGACCCGATTGACCTTTTCTACCGGTGCATCCGGTTTACTTGGTGAAGTGGCACCAAATGCTTACATGGACCACTGATTTATTAAATGAGAGGCTTATGTGGAGTTGTCGACCTTACTTAAGCACCATACCGTCAATCCCCATGAACCCTAGCTTCGTATTTTTCAAAGGAAAAGACGAGAATGTCATCTTCTTCATCTATTGGAAGCAAGGTTATGCGAAGGTTCAATCCCCCTCAAAGGACACATTGCGATTGCGGTGACTTAGTTGGAAGGTGGACTTCATGGAAGACAAGAAATCCTGAAGAAGATTCATTGATGCCCAAATTATAGGGTTAGTTGTTAATGTTGAAATTCTTCATATTTTAGTTTTTTTTTCTTTCTTTAATCTTGGATTATCCAGGATTCGAGTAAAGATTGCAAATTCTTTGATTGGGTGGATCCTCCACTCCCTAATCAGTGGTACAAGGACTTGCTCTTACAATTGCACAATGGGTGGAATGGAGATGTTGTAGAACAAATGGAAGAAGCAGTAGTAGAAGTTGTTCCAGCTCAAGTGCAAGGTGCAGGTGGTGTTGTTCCAAGGTGGTCAATGTTCTGGTTTATTTTGGGTTTATGTTTTGGTTTGTATTTTAAGATAATGTATTGGGATATGTAGTCACTATGTACGATGTTGTTTCTTTTGCAATGTAATGAACATTTTACTTATGTTGTATTGAATTATGGTGAAATCAAAGTACCACAACTATGAACCACATATGAATAATAAAACTGTCAATAACCAAGGCTAACCTGCACAACCAATCTTGAAATAAAATATGACATTGATCAATTGTGACCATTGGTTAATGCCCTTGCTTAATTACCAGTAATTGTTTACAAAATATGAACCAATATAAGTGGATATGTACCACCATTTACAAAATATGAACCACAAAGTGGTATGCAAAATATGAACCAAAAGATGGTATGCATCAGTTTACATTGTACCACCTTTTACAAAATATGAACCAAAAGATGATAACCCCTATCACTAATCTATAACTAATGCCTTATCTTCACACATTCCTATACCAAGAGGGTCAACCACCTTTTTTTCAGCTTCTGAAGAATGATCCTCTCTGAGGGTCTCCTTGTTCTTTGTTTCATATTATTCCCAAAATGACCTTGTTGTACTGGATCATTCACTGGAACACCTTCTTCATCTTCTTGTCCATCTCCTTCATCTCCTTCTCCATATTCTTTTTCTCCATCTCCTTCTCCTTCTTGTCCATCTCCACCTCCTTCCACTCCATCTCCTTGTCCATGTCCTCCTTCTTCTTCATTACCCTGTCCATCTCCTTCTAGTCCACCTTCAACATTGGCAGCCTAAAACAGAAAAAAAATAGTAAAAAACACTTAATCATATACATAAACACTAAATGAAACCTTACCACATATCCAAACTCTTCTAAATGAGCTTTTGTAATTCCAAGGCATCTCATAATGTCTACATCAGTGTAACCTGATTTCCTCAACTCTGTAATTTGTTGTGTAATGTAGTCCATATCTGCCATATCCAGCCCATCTCCATCACTCATCACATCTACATCCACCATCTCTTCAGAATTATATTCTTCATTGACCCTTTTTTGGGGTGGTACTGTATTTGAGGTTTCACCTCTTTCAAACCAGCTATGAAAGCCACCCCCACCTCTAGGTACCCTACCACCTCCTCTATTTCCCCTTGTCCCCCCTCTACCACGTCTTATCCATTGGGTTAGACTAGGGTCCAATCTTGGCCTGCCTATTTTCTTATTGGGTTTAGGATCTGGTTCAACATGTGGATTTTTACAGGTTTTCTTGTTGTGCCCCTTTTGTTGACAGTTTTGACATTGGACAGTTCTACCCTTTGAGGACACTTGAGAGAACTTGTCATCCCTCTCTGATACATGCCTTTTCCTTTTCACAGTAGGCCTGCCTGGCATCCTCCTCTCTAAGGGGGGTAAGGGCTTAATATAAGGAGCTTCTATCCATAAATTGTTGCCATTAACAGGTAGAATGTTATAACTATAACTTGAAATGTACATTGCCTTACCAAACCACTTGCTGATAAATGTCTTTGGATCCTGATGAGTTAACATGATAGATGCTTGGGCATGGACACATGGTATCCCTGATACATCCCAAAGTCTACATGCACAACTCCTTTTCTCTATGTTGACTCCATATGATTCAAGACCATTTCTAACTTCAAATTCATTTTGTCCACTAGGGTGTACCCTCCAAAACCTGCAAATAAAAGTTGTTACTAAATTAGCATAAAAGTTATTAATAACTTAGCATAAATGTATACAAAACAAGGAGAACTTACTTCAAGTCCTCACCAAATTCTTCCATTTTCTTAATTGCAGATGGACACACATCTCCTTCCCATTTTTCAGCTAACTCCCTGAGGTTGTAAAACCTATCCATCATATATAGCCTTATCTCTTCAAGCATGGTCAGTAGTGGCTTCTTCCTAGCATCAAGTATAACTGCATTGAAGCATTCTGCCATACCATTTTCTACAGCCTCACAGGCCAATCCAGTGGAAAAGAAAGCCCTGCACCATGTATTTGGCTCCTTGCCATTAGATGTTCATAAGCACCTGGGCTAATCTGTCTTATCTCATCCATGTGATTCTTGAATTCACCCTCTACAGTTGATTTGGCAGCCTTCCAGAATAGGTTCCTTAACTGAATTCCACTATATACTTTTCTGAAGTTGGCATAGATATGTCGTGCACACTGTCTATGCTCAACATATGGTAACACCTCCTTTGTTGCCTCAAGAAGACCCTTATGTTGGTCTGAAATTACACACATGCCCCTTCCTGCATCCATTCCAAGGTCAACCTCTAACAACTGAAGGAACCACTTCCAGTTAAACTTATTCTCAATTTCAACTACAACCCAAGCTATGGGAAAAACATGATTGTTTGGGTCCCTACCTATGGCTGTTAATAATTGTCCCTTACACTGCCCTTTCAAAAAAGATCCATCGATCCCTACTACCCTTCTACAACCCATCTTCCACCTTTCTTTGATTGATTTGAAACATATGTACATCCTTTTGAAAATAGTTGTACCATCATTGTTGTCTTCGACACAAATTTTAATGGTGTTGTCTGGATTGGATCTTAGCAATTCACCACCATAATCCCACACCCTTGCATAGTGATCACCTAATTTTCCCTCAATCATGGACATTGCCCTACATCTAGCCCTATAACTCCTTACCCATGAAATCTTAGTGTGAAATTTGTGTTGAACTTTTTTGTTGGATTTCCTTAGCTTTCAAATTAGGTGTCCTAATAAGTTCTTTAAGGAATTGTCTAGCTAACCATGTTGGTCCCATAAGTTTTCCATTGTTAAAATTCTTGACACATGTATGATGTGGATACATTTTCTTTATTTGGAATGACTTTTCAGTGCTCATCCAAGAGGCTTTAACATAATAAGGGCAACCGAATTTCTCATGATCACTAGCACACACACAGTGTAGTCTAACACTATCACATTTATTAAACCTAATCTGATAACCTTTAGATATGTCATGATTTGTTAAACAGAGTTTAAGTTGCTGTGGAGATTCATACCTTTCTCCCTCTTGAGGTTTCATTCTATTCCATTTCACATTTGGATCATGTGTGGAATATTTAAACTGAGCTTCACTATCATTTTCCTCTTCATCCACAACTTCATCTACATTTTCTTCCTCCTCCTGTTCGTCATCCAAAGGTTCTTCTTCCACGGGTGCTTCATCATCTTCAACATTCTCGAATAATGGGATAATGAAGTCTTCATCTTCATCGTCAAGAGATAGTGAGTTCAAGAACTCATCTCTACATCTCCTACTCTGTTTCTTTAGAAAGTCTTCATCTAGTTCCACATCGATCGTGTCAAAGTCCAACACACCTCCCATCTTCAAGGCTCCAACTCGTATCTCCCTTGGACTCGAATTCGTATCTCCTTCACAGTAAAAACCCTAGAATTGTCGCAGTAGAAAGAGAGGTTTTTCCAGCTCGATTAACCCTTCTTCATTTAATGATGTCCTCGTCATCTTCCAAGTAAGCGTTAGTAGCCACATCATCTCGATTACCCGCTATTAAATGAGTTACCGGCAAAAAATGTCAATCGGGTCAATAAGTGCCGGTAATTCGGGCTTTTGTGTCATAAAAAATTAGTTTGGGACTTTCGTGTCAATTGGATGAAAATATTGGGGCTTTACTGTATATATCCCAAAAAGTAATGACCAAAAATAATTATCATCATATTTAAAATGATTGCATTTAATTTAATTTAATTTATCAAAGTAGTTCACATGATTAATTATCATAAAAAGATGAAGATATTCATTCGTCCCAATTACAGATTCTACTAGGGATGAACATTAGAACTGTTGGAATCGGAGATGGATCGGAACCGAATAAGGTACGGTTACTAGTTCTCCATTGTTATTAAAACCGGTCTCGATTCTAAAAACCGGAATCGGTTTGATAACTTTTTTTCCGTTTTTAAAATATGTATAACTCACTCATATAGTCAGAATTGCTTGATTTTTTTTCAATATATAATTTGGAGTTTGTAATTCATTTTTTACTGTACAAACAAATACTTTGGTTAGATATTTAATCAGACGAATGCCCCCAAAAAAGAATATTGATGTCGCGTTTTTTCTATTTCAACACTTTTTTGTTTTTTTAATCTGTCCTATTTTTTTAAATATGCACAACTCATTCATAAATATAGGAATTACTTAATATATTTGTATTTTAAAAAAAAAAAATATTTTAAGAATAGTAACCATAATTAATGGTCATCTGACAAGAGAGAAGAAGCCTTTTGCTTAGCGGTAAGGATTATCCTCTGAAATGAGAGTTCATGTGTTCAAATCTCTTAGAAGACATAGGTGGTATTTAGGAGTAGGTTTATAGATAGTTTGTCGTTTCAAAAAAAAAATCTGATAAGTCATATTTAAAATGATTACCCTTAATTTAATTTAATTTTTTTGGAAACAATAAATATAGTAAAACGACCCCAAAACTAACAAGTAACTAGGTTGGGATCAAAAAAAGAAACAAAAAAGTCACAAGAGTAGTTCAGACAATTACTTACGAGAAAAAGAAGAAGTTATTCATTCGTCTCAATTACAGATTCTATTTGGGATTAATATTAGAACCGTCGGAATTGGAATCAGACCAGAAACAGACTGGAACCAGAATTGGCAATAAGGTACGGTTACCAATTCTTCATTTTTATTAAAACCGACATCAGTACTAAAATCTGTAACCGGTTTGACATTTTTTCTGTGTTTTAAAATGCGCATAACTCATACATAAGAAGTCGGAATTACCTGATTTTTTTTCCAACATATAATTTGGAGTTTATAATTTATTTTGACTGTACAAACATATATTTTAGTTAGATACTGAATCAGAAAAATATTCTGAAAGAAAGAATATTGATGCTGCATTTTTTTTTTCTATTTCAGTACTTCTTACGTATTTTTTAATCTATCATGTTTTTTAAATATGCATAACCCATTCATATGACGTCGGAATTACTTAATTGTTTTCCAACATGTAATTAAGTGTTTGCACTTCATTTTAGATTGTACAAACACATATTTTGGTTAGATATTGAACCAACCATAGACCCTGGAAGACATCATATCAATGTTGCGTATTTTCTATTTCAATATTTTGTTTTTACTTTTTAGAATTTGTTCCGCTTTTAAAATGCCCACAACTCACTCGTATCAAGTTGAAATTACTTTATTCTTTTTCATATGTAATTTAGTATTTGTACTTTAATTTAGAATGTAAAAAATCATAATGTGGTTAGATATCGAATCATTTACAGGCTCCGAAACATAATATATCATCTACAACCTTTCAGTCATTTCTAGTTTGAAAAATAACCAAAAAACCAGGACCGGAACCGGAACCGGCAATCCAGTTCCTAATTCTTATAATATAATAAAACCCGTTCCGATTCCGAACCGGTCTGGCTGTAAAGCTCGTCCATAAATTGTAACGCCATGTTCCTAGTACGTATTTTATTTATTTAAGTATTTATTTTGTAAGAGCTACTTGACGAGTTCGTAGCCCTAACTCGTCGAGTATATGCCAGTTTAGACGCGGAGTTTAAGTGGTCTAGTTGACAAGTCGAGAGCCTTGACTCAACGAGTAGATCCGTCAGGAGAAAAACCTAATCTTTAGGGTTTTCACCCTATTTAAGCATCATATCAAGCCTCCACCCCATCCCCCATCACCTCCACACCCTACTCTCGAAACCCTAATCACCCCTTGAGTGTTCTTAAGCTTTTTCTTGCTATTTGTTGAAGTTAGGAGAAGGAAGGAAACCTTGGTAATTCAAGAAGAGGCAGTAGATCCAGAGCTTGTGTTGCATTTCAGACCCTTTGGAGGTATAAAGCTTATGTTGGATTAGTGTCTAAGTCCGTAACTATATTTGGTATGTACTTGACCCGGTTGTGCATGGTCCTTTTGGGTTGCCTTCACCAAAGCAACTTGAAAAGGTAATTTAAGGAGAGAGAGAGAGGATATTATGGTTTATTAATATATTATAAGAATAATATATTAAAGGAGAAATCATATTTATTTGATTAGTATTGGTCATAAATTACTTAGGAATTAATTTGGTGACTAAAAGAGCTTAATTAAATAAATAGGTATAAACTGTCAAATGTGTGATAGTTAAGTTTTGGACTAGGAAACCTAATGGACTAAGGGGGAACGAAATTATGATGAAAGATCATCATATTTTCGTCCAAGGGTCTTATTCCAGAAGGTTCCTTGGACTACTTGGTGGCTAAGTTATCCATTAGGGCTTAGACTGAAACCCTAGCAGCTTGTACTATAAATAAGACCTCAAGGCTTCAATTTTCGGCCACTTTCTTCTAAGAGAAACCCTAGGGCTGAAAATTAGCATCTTCCATCCTCTCTTAAAGTTGCCTTCTTGCTTGTGGTGTTTGTGATCCACTAGAGGAGTTACAATTGTGACTCTAAGCTCAAGAGAAGAAGATTCAAGCCACTATTTGAAGAGGTAAACATCTAGATCTGATGTAATTAGCTAATTTCGAAATTATGTATGCTAGATTAGGGTTTTCAAGTCTTGGTTTCATTGCATGTACCTTAGAGAAACCTAGATCCAAGCATTAGGGTTTGTATTAGCACATATGATTGTTGTTTTGCTTAAAAACCATTAGTGGTATCAGAGCCTTGATTGGTTTCAATTGTATGTGATGCTATGATTGATTATCGGCTGAAAAACTTTTTCTTGCCTTCTATTCGAACTGACTCGGTGAGTCACTTCATGGACTCGGCGAGTCAACCCAACTCAGCAAGTCCAGTAAGTGACTCGGCGAGTCGGAGCGTCAGACAGAGGGATTTTCGGATTTTCTTGTTGTTTTGCTGAAGGATAATTGCCTTATATGTATTTAACTGATAAGATTCGTATTTTATTGTTATTGTAAAATTATCCTTGCCAAAACACAAGATAATTACCAGTTGATTAGATAATAACTTCCTTATATGATTAAAATTGATTATTTGAATTAATTGGGTAACTTATCTTGCAAGAAATTGAATTAGGTCAAATATAGATAATCATTAAATTAATTGTTTGATTTATATTATTTGTAATTTAATCCCTTTTGTTTTAAAAAGTTCATTAATTCAAGTAAGAGCCACCAAAAGGGTAAGCCCTATGATGGTTCCTCTTCTAGTGGAACCAAAGTTGGTTCAGTCAAACCCTCTTCAGACCCCAAAGAAGCAGAGTGCTACTACTGCCACGTGAAGGGCCACTGGAAATGAAGCTGCCCTAAGTATCTGCAAGACATAAAGGATGGGAAGATAAAGCTTACCTTTGCAGGTATGTATTCTATAAATCTAACAATTCATCATTTGCTACTTCATGGGTTCTTGATACAGGATGTGGTTTCCATATTTGTTCTGATTTGCTTGGCCTAAGAAGAAGTAGGGAGGTGGAACATGGGAAGTTAAACTTGATTATGGGAAACAGAAAATCACCGCCTGTGACCAGAGTTTGGAGTTTATTCTTTAGTGTTGAGTAATGGGTTAGGGTTGGATTTAAATAACTGTTGCTATACGCCAGATATAGCAAGAAACATCATTTCATTTCATGGATTGTTTAAACAAGGTTTCAGATACTCATTTGATAATAGTAATGGTTCTATTAATGTTTATGTGAATGTTGTCTTTTATTTCAATGCATTACCTTGTAATGGGATTTATGAATCTGTGTTGGTTGTTGATGATTTAGGAAATGATGTGTTGAATATCGATTCGTCTAGTAGTCAAGACAAAGCATGCTTGTGGCATTGTCGCCTTGGCCATGTTAACAAGAAACGCATAGCCCAACTCCAAAAGGATGGAGTGTTGGATTCATTCAACCTTAGGGATGATGATGTGTGTGAATCTTGTTTACTTGGGAAGATAACCAAGTCACCCTTTACTGGCACTTGTGAAAGGGGTGAGGGTGTCACACCCCCAAACCAGAACGGCGGAATCGTTCGAGGGCGGATGACTTCATGTAGTATCGTAACAATTGAATACATAGCAAAGAAAGTAAGACAACCATCATATATATATAATTTAAAAGTTACATTGTTGAATGATACTTGTTCAAAGAAAATTACAATATGATGACAAAATGAGTTTTAAACTGACGACTTAGCGTCACTTCTCCAAAAGCTGAAGTCTACTTGTATTATTGAATCCCTGAGAAATACAAGTAGTTTTGATAGAGTGTCAACAATTAAGTTGGTGAGTTCATAAGCATTTCTGTATACAATTTATAAGTTTGGTATAAATCACTGATTTTACTTCTGAAAAATCCAATATTTTTCCATGAGTGTGTGGTAGTTTAAAAGTTCCAAAA